TTGCAGTGATCTTAAGACAAATTGCTGTAGTACTTGTCTTATAAATATCATTGTTTCAGAAGCCTCTTTTAAGATCATGTCATCTTCTGTTCCAGTTTATGATAAATCATGGGTATTCTGTGTACTGAAAGGAATGGTGGCACGTTTGCAGTAATTCTCTGGCACTACAGAATGTAATTTTACAGACTTAATGATCTTTCAGCGTTTATATAACAAAAATATTTTCCTGATAATACAGGCAAGCTACTATAATTGGGAAGAAAACATTATATGCTTCCAAATATTCAGCTATATGATGGAATGGATGTAGTTGTGTAGACTAACCAGATATATGTAATTTTGACTAGTGAGTTCAGCTATCTTGGAAAGGGAATGATTGAGTATAGTTCCTATTAATCTTTTTCTGGGGCTACTAGCCACCATGTGCATTCTTAGAATTCTCTGGAGATATGATTTTAGAGGCATAATATCTTTTGGGAAGACATTATCTTACGTCTTTTCTGACCTTGGAGATATGCTTAGAGGCTATGTGTGTATATACATGTACACACACGCACACATGCATGTACACATAGAATTCTAACTTTTAGCATTATGGAGCAGTAATTCAATCTGTCTGGCTCTGAAACTCTATATACTTTAAAAATTATGTTAACAGTTCTCTAGTGACATAAAATTACTTGTTGTAACTCGGGAAATGTACTTGAAATTGAAAGATTGTTGCTGTTGTGAGTTTAACTTTTGGAATACATGACTGATTTTTAGAACTAGAATGGCACCATCTGCTGACCAATGCCAAAACTGGCAATGCTAATTTACTTACCTGGTTGCTTAGTCAAAAATGAGCTTCCCATTTAGCATTAAGGGGTAGCTTGAACAGAATCATAGGGAGAAAAGTCTGGTGGTGGTGGTGGTCTTGTGTGTGTTTTTTTTTTTTTTAAGTTGACTTATATTTGGGACAAATATTCTTAGCAGAAGACATTACTACAATGCAAAACATCTGAATTGTAACATAGCTTTAACTGTCCAGTGACCCGGATTATTGCAAAAGCCTTTCTTATAAACTGTGGAGCTCTTTAAAAGAAATCATATTTTGTAATTAGACTATGTGTTGTATAGGGTTGTTGCTGGTATTCTGTCCATCAGCGCTTTAGCCTCTAAGCACACAAAGAGGATGAGTTGATGGCATGAGATCAGGCCAGGCCCCAGCTCAGGAGGTCTTGTCACAGCATGGGAAACTGATTGGTTTTGACAAGCTTTTGTTATGTGACTGTTGTTGGGGCCCAAAAAAAAAAAAAAAAAAGGCAGCATCGGCAGTCTCTTTTCAGCCTGTGCAGTTAACCTTGATTTTTGTGCGTTACGGTCACAGGGAACGAACAAACCTAGGGCTTATTGTCACCTTTAGTTTGTAAATATGTAGATTTTGGTTCCATTGCTAAAGATAATCTTAATTTGAAAGTAGGTAATTAGATTTCATACATATAAAATATATTTTCATGTAGGTTCTCTGTTCTAACTTTCTAAAACATAGACGCAATGCTTCACTAGACTGTTAATCTTTAATTCTAGTCTCATCCATTTCTTCAGAAATTAACTTCACATTTTAAAGAATATCTGAATTATTAGATTGGTTAATCAAAATATGTTTGTATATGTACACAGTTATGTGTGTGTATGCATACAGAAAAGGATGCAAGTTTCTATGTGCAAACTGGTTTGTATCTGAATTGATGTTTCACTATAGATCAGTGGTGTGTTGGAGGCCATATAATATGATGATGCAGTAGATTGATTTAACTGAGCCAATGTGGGGGATGTTTTTGTTTCAACCTTAAGGATCTTTCATCCATCAAGATGAAAACAGTGCCCTTTGGTTGCTAATCTGTTTCTTTGAGCTTCTTCAGTCATTGCAATTATAGTAGTCCACCTACATAATAACTAAGAGAAATTAGATTTACTTTTTGCTTTGTCTGTTAATGGGGTGTGTGTAGGTTCTATCACCTCCAGCAACAAAATGCTGCTGCAAAATGGTGTGTTGCACAGAACTGCATGATACCATGAATTTTCTCATGTGGCTATTGGTAGAATACAAGCTTTAAATTTTGACAGATATATTTCAAAAACAAAACAATAAAACTACTTTTAGATAGTACGTTCAGCCTAACTCTTATGAGGATAAGAGGTTATGCTCTATAGAAACTAATTGGGTTATGCCGTTGAAAAAGAGTAGCAACAAGTTCCTCGGGTATTACTTAGTAGTTAAAATAGATACTTTCGCACTGCGTACAAATTGCCTGTTTCAGACAGGATTTTACTTTTTTATGGTTTTGATGTAAACATTTTGCATGTTGAAACCAGTGAGTAGGTAGTTAGTAGATGGCCTATCCCAATGAACTGTGAAATGCAGACTAGTTTTCTACTGTGCTTTAAATCAATAAAACTACAAGACATAAAACAATTGTTTATGTTAAAAAAAATTCTCAAATATGCAGTTAAAGTGCCTATGACCTAGTTTCAGTTTTTCTTACATGTTTTTCAGACGTTAGAAGTTATTTTAAAGTCTTAAACTCTTTATTTGCTCCCTTTCTGATCTTTTATGTATATCTCCTGACTTTTAACTTCTGGAAGAGAAAGTATGCAATTAGCTAATCTTCCTGTAGATAATGATTCTGAAGTGGAATTAATATGGTGATCCAAAAAATTGCACTTAAGGGAGTTTTAATAAGTCATTGCATGACTTGTGCAGACACCCATGTTGGCTTTTAGTGGACCGAGGTGTACGTTATTTCAAGGTAAACAGGATGATCGCTTTTTTTTCTTCTACAGCATGATGCTTTCTCTCTGGGAATCCCAGTAGAACAATTTGTAGGGATACAGTTATCAAAGCAATTTTGATTTCTTGAGTTTGCTGTGAATTTCAGAATGAAAAAACTGAGAAAGAAAACAAGTTTAGGACTGTCAGTTGCTTCTTGTAATTACTCAGATGTTCATCTTGAAAATGAAATACAGAAGTATTTGGACAAATGAGTTGCTGAAGTGTTGAATTTTTTTGTTTGTACAGGTTAATAAGAGAGGCCATAATGGAAGCAGTGAATTAAGATGCAGGTTATCAACTGCAGTGAAAAGAAGCTTTCTAGGATTTGTGTTTCACTTCCATATTCCCCTCTATTTTGATATCTGTAAATTTTCAGGATGTTCAGCCATCATTTTGAGCTGCACTCTCTTGTGTTGTGGATTTTTTTCTTTTAGACTGTTTGTTATTTTTTCCTTTTCTGGATGTGAGCCAGGTTCCTATGGAAAAACGCAACTGCGTTCTGAAGCTTTCCTTGGCAAACATGAGTGGTCCTTAATGGAAGTGAGACGAATCTTGTCATAAGTAGGATCCTGTGTTCTAAGACTTCAAATCAAGACGACTTTGGAGATTAGAATGTAAAGGTTAAAAGTCGAGTTCCTCCAATATAGGGCTAGGGTAAAACAAAATGAAGAGCCTTCTATTTTTATGAACTAGTCAATGTTATGGTTCCTTTGCAGCAAAGCAGGTAAACTGATTATCTAAATTAGTTCTCGTAGCCCTTGATTTGTGGGAGAGATTTAGATGGCCGACTCCTCCAAAGTCACGCATATTTTCACAATACATAGTAGTATCACTAATGCAAGTATTTGAGATGTGATATTGAGAGAGCAAATGATTTCATAGGTAATATGGCAAAGCATCTAGCGAATCATGGATTCTCGCAGGGAGTAGGGTTAAGCTATGGTGCCAGAATCCTGTTCAGACAGCTACATTTCAAGAATTTATCCTAGGAACTTGAAGAACTGTATCAACTAACTGACAAATCTGAACGTTTGAGAGGAGAGAGTGAGAAGGAAGGCATCATCTAGTGTTCTGCCTTACTCTCAGGTGTGAAGTGAGATTGTTGCAACTCTTAATAAAAGAAGGTAAAGTCTGTTCCGATACACAATAGCTCTATGTGCAAGCAGTGAATTCAGGTACTTCTGATTGGCATCTACATTATCTCAGACTCACAGCTTGGTTATCTGCATGGTTTTCTAATGAGACTATCATTCCTCTCAGGTGCTTTTGTGTGTCTGCCGTACATGGGGACACAATAACACGTAAAACCTCATTGTTTTTCATTTATCTGATGGGTTTACTTTGACTTTGAGTCAAAGGAGCGTATATGACTGTGTATATAGTTAAGTCAGATTTATCTGTAGTTCCATATATAAAGAATGGTTGAAAAGTTACCTGTTTTGAACCAAACTGTTTCCCTTTGATATTTGCTATAGTGGTTGCTCTTCCCAAAGTAGTTTTTATCATTCATTTTTTTCTGACTTGTTTCACCGTATAAGCCCCACACACCCGCCCGTCCCCCCCCACCACCCCCCCGGGGATAAGTGTGCAGCTTGTATAGGGACAGTAAAACCCTGAACTGCAGAATCTCTGCATCAGGACGTAGACAAATTTGAGTTAGCTCCTAGGATCTAGGTACTTTTTGTTCTCTGCTTTGATCTTTCTGTAGTCTTCTTCATTTACCTGTGAAGCAGTTCCTTTGTCATGCTCTGTACTTAGGTTGCCTTTTTTCCTTTTAACCCATCCTCTTTACTCATTTGTATTTGTTTCTCTCCCCTTTCCATAGTTATAACCATCTTAAGTTTTTCAAATATTTAGCTGTTGGGCAATTACTTTTTTTGAGCGTTTACATAACCATTTTTGCTATTATAATGAACCTGCACCACTTTTTGCCTTTCCTTGTAGCAGATGTGTCCAAAAGTAATTGCAATGCTCACAGAACTGAGTATTTTTGAAAATCTTTATTACCTATATGGCATCAATTTTTAGCTTAGTGATTTGTTTTGCTCTGGAGCTGAGAGTTTGAAGAGGATGTAGTAGAGTAGTTCTTTAATCCTGATGTGCTTAATTTATCAACCCGTGTAGATTGTTACTACAAATAATGTAAGAGCCAGTAAACAGATTTTTAATTTTTTTTTCTTTTTAGTGTTAAGTTGTGACAATGACAACTGAGGTTGGCTCAGAGACTGAAGTAAAGAAAGATTCTGAGCAGGTGGGAGCAGACAAAGCCAAGGACAAGCCTGAAGAAGCATCAGATACTCCAGAAAATCAAAAGTTCAGAAAAGCATCCTCCGAAGAAGCTGTAGATTCTTCCTCTGTCCCAGTGCCAACTAGCCAAAGCAGCCCAAGTATTCAGAAGAAGGAAAAGGATTTTTCTGAAAGCAAGGGTATTTCTCGTTTCCTGCCCCCATGGCTTAAGAAGCAGAAATCCTACACCTTGGCAGAGCCCAAAGATGAGGCCAAGAAAAAGGCTGTAGAGGAAAACCAAGCAATTGAAGAAAGTGAATGTCAGCTTCCAGAGGAGGTAGCTCAGCCAAAAAGGAGTTTAGAAGAAGCAGCAACTGAAAATCAGCATAATGCTAAAGCTGATGAGAAGGAGGAAAAGCACTCTGTTAGCAGTGCTGAAACACAGGTAAATGCAGAAAAGCTAATGAATACTTCAGAACAATTTTAAGGAGTCCTGTTTCATAATTTATAAAACACATGTAAGGCTTAATAGGGGTTATGTAAGGGAAGGCCAACTGTTTATCTTTTTTTTGCAGATGGGTTGATATAGTTATGAGTAGTAAAGCTAGCTTTAAAAGTTCTTACTTTGACAGATTATTTTTTGACTGCAGTCATTTTAGCAATCTAATTATAGTGTAATCTCACAAACACTTGTTTTAGGATAGTCCAAGGGGCAGTTGGCTGTATCACTGAAGCGGAAATGAGCAAGAATGAGAGCAGAAACTTCTTAAGTCAGCTTTGTCTCTGAAGTCAGTGTACTGCACAAATACCTCTGCGAAACTTAATCCATTTGTTATCTTTTTTAAATTATCTCAGAGTCCTTATGATCTCAGTTTTTTTTAATGCTATACTTTATCTCTACTAGAAGCCATGTGTGTGGCTGCTGTCCTTAGTGATAGATGCTGGGAGGCTGATGCTGAGTTGGCAAGGCAAATGCTACCTTCTGTGATACTCCAAAGTCTTGCTTTTTGAAATGCCTGTCAGTTCTTTAAACTCAGACCTCACATTCCATATAGCTTGATTTTCATAAGCAGTGTTCCTTAGCTTTGCATAATTTCTGCAGCTTCTCATTGAGGTCCTTTCTGTTAGGGTGGGCGAGTGGGTGTCAATAAAACATTTAAATTCTCATTTCAAAAAAAAAAAAGGGGGTGGGAGGAGGGAAATGGCACCCTATGTGTGCCGAAAGCAAGAAAAGAATAGGAAAAAACTGGTTTTCAGTATCTTGTCCCCAAATGGAAAACCTTAATGCTGAAACTGGTTGTTATGCTTCCAGTGCCTGCATACTTTAATGAAAGGTTAATGCCTTATTGGTGGCATATGAAAGAAATGAGCAAATTAAAAAGAAAATCCATATTCTTAAGTTGGAATCGTTGTTTAACTTTATTTCATACAGCCTGCCAAGGAAGATGGTAAAGAAATGGAAGTTGAAAAAGTTGCCGAGGAAAAGGAAGAAAAACAAGTAGAAAAAGAAAAAAGGGAGACCAAAGAGGTGCAGACAAGTGAAAGTAAAACAGAGAACATTCCCCAGAAGTCTCCCAAGAAAATTAAAACTGTGCAATGTAAAGTGGTGCTTCTGGACGGTACAGAATACGGCTGTGATCTAGAGGTAAGACATAAAGTCTTTAAGAAATCTTTCTCTATATATTGGGGCGGGGGGGGCAATGAGTACTGTATGCGTTCATTGCAGTGAGAGTTTAATGAATGCATTTTTGTTTTAATTAATCTAATGAGTTCATTAGAATGTTACGTTCACACAGCTATCATTTAGGGTCAGTTAGCATTTCATTTTAGAATCTAGTCTTTAAGACCTTAGTTCATCCTTAGTTATGTACTCTGGCATACATTAACAAATAAGATAAAACACAACAAAATAAATCCTTTGGAAAGTGAGCCTGCCTTAATGTTTAGCAAATTTTCTATGAGCAGTTTCTGTCATAAGTGTTGAAGTATATTCCCTATTCCTCTAGCTGAGTAGTGACAGTGCACGCTTTTATTCTCCTATAACAGATTTTTCTCTAGTTTCTTCAGAAATAGCATCAAGTCTCAGATCATTCTCCTTAGAGCTCATCCCTTACTTGAGTGTGATGAGCAATGGCCATGTTTGAATCTCCAGGATCTGTATATGTATATGAATCTCCAGGATCATCTATACACGACAATTGTTGCACTTAAGAATTAACAGTACAAATAACTGCACTATCTAAGAAACAGTAAAGCCACATCCTTCTGCAAAAGCAATGAGAGAATCAGAAAATTGATCTCTTGCTACCTGCTAATCTTCATTTTCACTAGAGAAAACAATGGTGCTTGCCTCCTCTTCCGTTCTTGGTTACTTTAGAACAATGCAGAAAATGATCAAAAGTATAGCAGATGCACTACCGGCATTTCTAAAGGGGAACTCCTCAGAAGAATTTTTAGTAATTTGTTGCTTCTAGACCAGTCAAAGCAGTTCCTCTCAAAAACCAAATTCTTCCAGAGTTTGCTTGGCTTGTGGCTTAAAGTAAATATTTTTTGTTTTCAAAACATTTTGGGACTTTTTAAACTGGAAGCTTAACACACATATATGAAAACCTTTTTAAAAATAAAAGCAAAGGAAAATGTATTACTTGTGCCTGGAGGGAAGGAAGTCTGTCCTTGATTTTCCTCTCAAATTTTCTTGTGGTGATGGCAGCTATGAAAGAAGTAGGCGAAGACCGTCACGGACACCTTCCAACAGAGATTCTGAACATCTGGATTTCTTGTCAAGAAAAATGTTACCACTAAATTAGCAATTCATATTTCATTGTACTGGTGCTCATGATAAAGTATGAACAAATTTAAAGCTTGTTCAGTTTTTCTCAAGAGAGTAGTGAACAGGCTATGTATACTGTTGATTTAATTTTTTAGGTGGTAGATTCAGACCAAAGAGGATTTTTTATGTGTAACACTTTGATGCTGTTAAAGGTCCTTTTATAAGACCTATGGCTTACATGGCTTTAAAAGGTGATTAGATAAATCCTTGGAAGAAAAATCTATAGGCACTTTCCTTTGGCTCAGGAAACCCTAGAGCTGAAAATTCTTGATGACTAAGACTGTATGAGTATTCCTACATCCCATATTCTTGAACTTTTCCCTTGGCATTTGCTATTGCTGCTGTTAGATACAGGGCACTGGTCTAGATGAACTTAGGAGCATTTTTGTATGAGCAAGATAATAAGTAGACCTTATCAACAGATGACTTTAGGCTAATACCGTCTCCCAAAAGATGCCAGTTGATTCATTAAAAAATGTAAGAGGCTGTTCTGTATTAGAAAGTTTAACTGTAACTGCTGGTGATTGTGGGAGCTTTGCCAGTAGAAGATGCAAATGCTGATTATCATAAACTGCATCACTTTTTCAGGCTGTCACTTCATCACATCACATTCATCACTTGCCGAAGGCTTATGAATTGCTTTAACTGTAGAAACTCCCCATTTCTTGTTGGATTGGTGGACACCACAGGAGCAAACTAATTTATCTAATACTGGATTTTGGTGCTCCCTTGGAGCACATAAAATGTGTCTTGTAGGGCACTATGTATTTGGAAACCATATTTCCAGCGAGCTGGTGGTAAGACAAATTAAAACATGCTTAGTTCTATTTTGTCGTTTTGATAAACTTTATAAACACTTGAAAACCATGTTCATGGTATCTGAGGACTTTTGCTCTGTATCTCAAAAGTTTATGTAGGTGATATTTTCAAAAGTTTCTCCAGCTAGCAGTGCCAAAGGCAGAATCTATTGATGTGGAACTTGCTTGGTGGGCTGGAAACACCAAGGACTAACAGAATGAGATTGGCATGTTGCACAGCTGTGTCCCAATCCTAAACCACCTTCAGTTCTTCAGCGGCTGCTTTCAAAGGACAGGAGCTCTAAGCTCTTCTTAGACTCCACTACTTGTTATCTATGGGGGCAGAAAAAGAGTTCAGTGAATTAAACAGCTTGTGAAGTCTGTTTAATTTTCTGATGTTTTACTTACTGCTTCCAGTCATTTCTCTTTGTGAAATGAAGCAACAGCCTAATGTTGACTGAGTCCTACTAAAGTCAGCAAACCTGTATGTTGATTTTTTCGCTGATGAATTTGATTCCTTGCCTTGTTGCTGCTGCTGCTTCTACTTGTACAGGATGGCTCTTGGGTGATGAGAAGTTTCGATGACCACTAGTTTAGAATATCATAGTTCTCGTTTTATGGGTTCAATAATTTAAAGATGTGACCAAGCAACACCATATTATTCGGTTTGTTCTGCCAAATAGTATCTAATATGACACCAACAGCAAATAGACTTGTAAGTGGATATTAGAGCCACACTGCACTGGCAGTTATGGGCAGCATTAATATTTAGTATAGAAGACAACAGGTTTTTTCACAGAATCACAGAATGGTTGAGGTTGGAAGGGACCTCTGGAGATCATCTAGTCCAACCTCCCTGCTCAAGCAGGGACACCTAGAGCATATTGCCCAGGATCACATCCAGACGGGTTTTGAATATCTCCAGCGAAGGAGACTCCTCAGTCTCTCTGGGCAACCTGTTCCAATGCTCTGTCACCCTCACAGTGAAGAAGTTTTTTCTCAGGTTCAGGTGGAACTGCCTGTGGTTCAGTTTCTGCCCATTGCCTCTTGTCCTGT